CTACCCGATAGTGACTCGTTGTTTGCCAAAAATCATTCTTAATAAACAAGTGTTCTTCGACACATTGGTTATGTCGAGACTCAAAAAGTGGATTCGATGTTTGAACCGATGTGTCTCCCGATGGAAAGGGTCCGACGATTGTTTCAATACGATACCACATTCAAAACTAAAAAACTTAATTTGACTTGAAAAATTAGAGTTCTAAATTGAAAAATAATTTGGCAAAAATAAAGCACTTTAGGAGATGAATTTAGGACTAAACTGGACGTGGTGCCTTTCTTTTGAAAGGACGCTTTTGGGTGATCGATATCTTTCCAAGAGCATAATCAACTCCTTACCACGGAATCTCTGAACCGAGTGTCTATTTTAGGTTCCTAGTTCATTCAATACTAGGTGGCGACTCCAAACTCTGTAAATAAATTTTATAAATAAATAAATCTTAAACTACGGATTTTAATTTTGGGGAGTCCCGTCCGACGTCGAGTAACGACACTTGTAATCGAATTATTTGAACAAATAACCTTGAAAATGCTAGGTTTGGAGTTGTTAATAAGCGTGCATGTGAACATCTATTAAAACCATAAAATATCTAAACGGTTCATTTGGTGGATGAACTAATCTATATATATCACCTTAAATATGTTTTAAAAATGTTAGAGAGTCATTCCTAATTTTATTTTGTGATGGCTTAATAATAAGTTTTCCTTGAAAACATATAGGTCATGAAAACTCATTAGATTGAAAAATCTAATGGTTCTTTAGTGGATGACTATATGAATTTTCAATAATTTTTTGTATCATAATGAATTTAGTATGGTCCAATCGGTTATGTCATCTGAATAAAAGAATTAGTAAAGTTATGATTTACTTAATGTTTTTTTTAATCATATGAGTATTTGTGTAATAAATACCAAAAAAGAAAGAGAGTAATTTCTTCCATACATATTTAATATCCGATGTATCTTTTGTAGTATATAAATATTCAATATTCTCAACATTTGTTATCTCGATATGATATCTATTTAGATGAGTATATTTGAAACTCAACAAATTTCTATGAGACTTATGAGAGAATAATGCATCATTTATAATCAAATTTGTCCCCGTAGGTAATAATATATTTGCTCTTTCATTGCTTTTAATTAAATTGACACTATCGGATATAGTGTTAATATTACTCTTGCCCATCATTAAATTGGAGAAATATCTTTTATTTTCAAAATGTAGTATGCGTTGTTGCACTATCTACAAGGTATAGATTCTCCTCTATAATGTTCAAAACAATTGTAAACTTGATAGTATCTATATATTCTTGTAATAGTTTAGATGATTTACATCTTTTTGGTAGAGTAATCGTATTGATAACATGTTTAAAATATAATAATAATCGCAAAAGATTATTACGATAATGGTAAAAGAGATAGGAGAAAAGATAATATAAAAATGATTTCAATATGAAATTAAAAAAATACAAGAGATAACAACTCTAAACAATTCTCTCAATCTCTACAAAATACTTGTATACAAGTTAATAAATAATCAAACCTATTTATAGGGTTTAAAATTAGAAAGAGAGTTGAAAAAACTATGAATAATTAAAAGTAAATGAATTGTTGAATCAATTACATCATTTTTTTAATTTCTCATATTGAATGGTAAATTAAATTACATTAAAAATTAAAAATATGAAAAACATATGAATATTTTTATGAATTTTTATTATTTCATAACAAGAACTCAAAAGTTTTCAACATTCTACCAATGTAAAACAATGCGATCTTAGAATCTTTGTTATTTAGAATTTTGACTTACAAAGTCCACCCAAACCAATAATCCCACTCGCCACCAAACGTGAATGGAGAAAAAAAAATCAAAATCAAAATCAAAATCAAAACCAAAACTTGCCGACAATCACGGTATTAATAGGACCAAGTGGTAGGGAAAGAGCATGTAATAATATATTTGCTCTTCCATTGCTTTCGATTAAATTGACACTATTGGATATAGTGTTAATATTACTCTTGCCCATCATTAAATTGGAGAAATATCTTTTATTTTTACATGTATTATGCATTGTTACACTATCTACAAGGTATAGATTCTCCTCTATAATGTTCAAACCAATTGTAAACTTGATAGTATTTATATATTCTTGTAATAGTCTAGATGATTTGCGTCTTTGATAGAGCAATCGTGTTGATAACGTATTGAAAATATAATAATAATCGTAAAAGATTATTACAATAATGGTAAAAAGGATAAGAGAAAAAATGATATAAAAATAATTTCACTATGAAATAAAAAGAATACAAGAGATAATGACTCTAAATAATTATTTCAATCTCTATAAAATACTTATTCACAAACTAATAAATAATTAAACATATTTATAAGCTTCAAAATTAAAAAGAGAAATTAAAAAAGACTATAAATAATTAAAAATATATAAATTATTAAATCAATTGCATCATCTTTTCAATTTCGTATATTAAAAAATAAATTATATTATATTAAAAATTAAAAATATTAAAAACATATGAATATTTTTATGAATTTTTATTATTTGATAACAAGAACTCAAAAGTTTTCAACATTCTACCAATGTAAAACGACGGGAACTTAGAATCTCTGTGGTTTAGAATTTTGACTTACAAAGTCCACCCAAACAAACTATCCCACTCGCCACCACATGTGAATGGAGAAAAATCAAAATCAAAACCAAAATTTGCCGACAATCACGGTATTAATAGGACCAAGTGGTGGGGAGTGAGCATGTATCCCGCAGCAACATCATATCATAATTTTCTGTACATCCCTATCTTACTTTGTCCTCAACTATCTATCCAACTCCAGGCCAGGTCCCATACCATGTGATTACAACTGTCACCAATTTCGATGCACTCCACTGCACTGGACCCCTTTCATAAACATTTCATACCCTCATCTCCAACATCCCGATAACATAAAAATCAATTATCTGTTTCTAATAGAATAAAATAAAAAACAAAAAACAAAACCAACCCACCCACCTCCGCAGATAATAAAGCACCAGATTCTCCTGCTTTCCCTCCTCTCCCATCGCAAAATCCAAATCAACGTCCCTATTTTGCATGCCACGTGTCGCACATGCATGAAAGTCTTTTTTCTGTCACGTCAAAATTTAAATGGCTGTCATTTTCTTTGTTTCCTTCTTTGTTAGTACCCCACTATTAACACTTTCGCTTTGTTAAAAAAAAAAACCTTTTCTTTTTCTTTCTTTTTTTTGTCCTTTCTAACATGAGAATGAACTTGGTAAATTTGGGCTGTATTCGTTTCAAAGAAAACAAGTTGGGAAAATTTATTTTCTCTATTTTTTAATATTTATTTTATATTTAGAAAAATAATCAATTAAAAATGATTTTCAATCAACAAAAAATAATAAAGTATTGTAAAAAAAATGTTTTCCTAGTTTCAAAAAGAAAAATATTTTACTTCTCACGAGACTGTCTCACTCTTAAGTTATTTACCTCTCTCTCAATATATTTTAATAATTTTTTTCTATTTTTTTATTTAAAATATATCATATTAGTTTTTAATTATTCCTTATCAATTGTTATTAATTATTTAATTATTTTTCTCTATTTTTACTAATATTTGATTTTTTGATTTATAGATACATTAAATATTCTTAAAAACCTTTTTTGCATCTTAAAATTATTTTTATAATAAATATTTCAATAATTTATCTCTATTTTTTTTTACTTTATCTCAAACATCACCTAAACTATACTTAAATGATTGAAATGATTATTACAAGATTATAATTTTTTATCAAAAAAAATTAAAATGAATTAATTCATCAATAAATATGTTATTTTTTCAACATTACTCATTTGCAATTAAATCAATAATTTATAATTTTAATCAATTGTAAAATTTTGTTGGTGATTGTAGTGAATAATTAGTTACAAATTATTTCAACATTAATCTTTTGAGACCAAATGAATAATTATCTATAAATAATAATTTATAATTTATAAAACTATTTTTCAAACTAAATTATCAGTTCAATTTCTTAAAAAATGAAAAATAATTTTTAATTGAGTTACCAAAATAACGATGCCAGGATTACTTAGAATTTTTTTTTACTAAATGTGAATATTAACTTGATTTTATCCTAAGTAGTTTTGATGAATTGATTTGACGGTTAAAAAATACATTTTATTTTTTGAATTAAAATTTTAAAGTCAGAATTTATGAAAAATTATTAATTTTTTCATAATATGTCTTATATTGTGAAATTATGAATATTTCTTTTTGAAGTTTTCTTAAAACTTGTTAATATAACAATCATATGTGTTTTTATATTTTAATTTTCTATATCAAAAAAACATTGAAACATATTTTTCGACAATTTTTTCATGTAGTTGCCAAATGACAAAAAATATATTTTAAAAAAATAATTTCTTAAAAAATAACTTTCTCATAAATTAATTTTTCTATGACACTTATTTTTCTACAAACAAGCATAACCTTGAGTTCCAGTAATTTCATTTTTCTCAGTTACAATGCCGAGAAAGAAAAAAAATTAACACAAAAAATAAACATACAATTTAACAGATTCGGTAATTACTATAAAAGCCACTCAAGAGAACTGAATTGAACACAGAGGATAGTACTAGTACTGCAATTTATGACTGATCAATTACTCAACCAACGATAACTTGACTGGAGTTACTTAGATGGGCTCCACTTGCATCCACCCACCCACTCCTCACAGATCACAACCTCACTTCATCTTCATAATAAATGTATATAAATAAATCCATACTTGTACTTGTCTTATCTGGAAAATAATTTACCTTGTTTACCAGTAATAAAAAAAGGTAAATTTCATTTCAGCCTACTTATAAAAAAAACACCTGTTACTATTAACTACTGACATGTATTAGGTGTAAATCCAACGCGGTTGTTTGCCAGGTCAAAGGTGACACGTGTCCCCTGCTGCTGAACGTTCCCGATTATAGACAAAGACGACGTCGTTGGAGCAAAAGCAAGGCAGTAAGTCCCCCCGAATCAACAGGGATCAAATAATTGGGGGCAGGCAAATCCCATGACTTCCCATCTGTGAAGTGAAACGATACCGTTGGTACCCTTACACTTGCCTGTCCAGACATATCATAACACGTGTCAAACAATGCAACGCCACTAGTGGGTTCCAAATTCTGAGTCATCTCCACGAACGCGTCACGCAGAGGATTATAAGCCTCGGTCTGCAATCGAGTTATGGCTGTCCCGCAATCAACAATTATCCCACCATTCCCTGATTCGTCCATTTGAAAAGTTGACTCAGGAATCGAAAGCATCTTCCCACCGACACTCATTCCACTGAGACCCACGTAGTAAAAAGTGTCTATCTTCCGGTTCCTCATCAAAGGAGCAGTGACCGAATCACCACCGAGTTGGACCGAGTTAAAGTCCAAAGTCGACGTCCCGGCGGAGTCACGATTCACTAAGCAATAAGAAAACGACGAAGCTTTAATCTGATTTGTTAACGAAAGTGGGCCGCCACCAAGCCCTAATAAACCAGCAGCACCAGCAAACAATCCTTCATTATCATGACCACAGCCTAAGGCAACATTTCTAACACTCCCAGAATTCCCAAACGACACCGATTCAGCCGCAAAATCACCGAAAGTAAACGATCCGTCTCCGTAATTCACCTGGTAAAGACATTGCCCACTTCTACAGCTCGACATTTCTAAAGAGCTACACTGTTGAGATTCACACGTGAGAGGAGCATAAGTAGACGACGCCGTAGGATTGAAGATTGGATCTGTTTGCTGATAACAGTCCGTACAAGGTTGACATTGTAGCCAGTTAATGTCACTGCCTGTGTCCAAAACCATAGAAAACTGTTTGGCTGGGTTACCGACACCGACTCGAGCGAAGTACTCACCGCTTCCTTGGCTTGTACCTGAGGTGACTGGAGTGGATAAGTCCTCGGGTTGGATCTCGGTTTCTACAGGTTTGAGGTCGGATTTGGAGATGCCATCGAGGGCGAGTTGGAGCCTGGCTGTGAGTGAGTTGACTCGGGCTGTGTCACGGTTGAGTCGAGAGAGGACTAAGGATTTGTAGTCTTTGTGGTGGGTTTTGTGGATGGTTTCGCGGGAGTGGAGTTCGAGGGAGAAAGAGAGTGAAGAGTTGGAGAAAGATGGGGTTGTTGCGGTGATTGTTGTTTGAGTGAAGGGTTTTTGTGTTTGTGGATCAAAGGATAGGATGTTTTGGGCTCGTTGAAGAGAAGATGCGACATCAAGGACTGTTGCTGTAGTGGAATCTGGTAAATCACGAGATAAAGTGGAGGTGAACAGGAGAGAGATTAGAATAGTGAAGAGAAGAAGCTGGAATGCCTTTGAAGCTTCTGCCATATTTTTGTTGCAGAGAGAGTTGTGGAGTGAAGAATTGAAGTGGGAGTTTTGGCTTTTTATTGAAAAAGTAGAAAGAGGTGGAGTAATGTAAATAGAAGACGACCTCACGTCATGCTTGATCATGATAAGAAAAATAGGGTTTCCCGGCATTGATAACGATGTCAAAGTGTTTAGATTTCATGAACCTAACTTTTTGAAAGATGCTGGTAAATTATTAAAAGATCACAAGCCTCTAAACTGTTCCGTGCGATTTCAGTAATTTGTGCGTACGTAAATAGTAGCTCACCCGTGACAAGGAAACGAAAATTTCGAATTTATTAGCTCGTTGGAACAAAAGCCGCAATGAGGTGGTCTAAGTAGGCTATATGCATGGTATAGATACACAATAGGAATCGTTTTTGCATCAGCAAAAGTCTAACTCTCCCTCCCTCTGTTATCAACAATTATCCGAATTTTTCAATGTGTTAAGAATTTGGTTAGTATCCATTATATATTTGTCTACACTTGTCCAATTTTCCCTCTATTCAAAATTTGATCAATTTTCATTCGGTATTTTCTATTTTGGTCCAATGATCCCCAATTCATAACTTAATTATGCCAATTGTTAAGTTAAGTGTGATGGAATGGATTTTTAAAATTGACATGTTTCCTTCTTTTTTATTTGATAATTTAGTTGTTTTATTTTTTCATTCTTTATTTGGATAATTACTACATATCTATAAAATTATCTAAAAATCTAATAAAATAGCCAACTTTAATCCAAATAGTTTAAAATTATAAAAGTCATTATTCTAGATAAAAACTCTCTCTCTCTCTCTCTCTCTCTCTCTCTCTCTCTCTCTCTCTCTCTCTCTCTATATATATATATATATATATATATATATATAAGATTACGACATGTGTTTGTTTGTTTTTTTTTAATCTCGTACCTTTATTCTTTGTTTTTTAGTGAAAATAAATATTAAAAAAAGAAATAAAAACAAATTTTGAGTATAAAATAAAATATTTATATTATTTTTTTAATGATTAAATACACTACATCTTCCTATACTATGTCAAAAAAATCATTAGAACACTTTTATACAAATATACTTCATAACAAACTTTATACTATTAAACGTTAGATGCAAAATAATTCTTCCATTAACTTTTTTGTCACATTGACAAATTTTTAGTAGTTGACTATTATTGATAAATCAAATGGTGACATATGTCAACTTAAAAGTAAAAATATATTTTTCTTGTAAAATTAGTTTTTTTATTATTTTAAAGTTAAAATAATTAATAATTATTAAAAAATAGAAAACAATTCTAAACATTTTTAAAAAAATAATAAAAAACCGCTTTTTAAAGATTTTATAATAAATATTATGAAAGAAAATTTAAAAACAAATATGCAAAGAAATTTTTTTTCAATTTTTAATTATTTTATAATAATTATTAATAAAGAGAATTTATAAAAAAAAATATAAAGAATTTTTTAATGATCATTAATTATTTAAAAAAAATTAATTGATTTTATAATGATTACTAATTATTTTAATAAAAAAATTGATTATTATTTTTTGTTCTTAAAAAAATTAAGAATTTTCTTTATTCGTAATTATTATAAAATCATTAAAAATTTCTATATATTTTTTAAAAAAATTCTTCATTAATAATCATTACAAAATAATTTATTTAGATTTTTTAAAATTGATTTAATAATTATTATTATAAATTCATTGGAAATTAAAAAAAAATCTGATTATTTTATTATAAATTGTTTATTGATAGTCATGAAAGTAATCTTTCCACCTGTAGTAAATAGATAGGGAATTTGGAAAATGATCTCCAACATGGAAATGATTTTTTAGTTTTCACCAAGTATATTAGGAAATGCTTATCTTCTTGAAAGCTTCACTAGATAAGTTCATACCCAAAGAAATTAATGAAAAGTATTTAAAGAAATATATTACATCAATTTGGGAAGAGAAATTTTAAAACACAATTAAGTTTCCAAAACTGTCGGCTAGCTTAATTTGAACTTCATTCTTTATCAAGAAACAATTGACAATTTAACTTAATGAAGTTTACCGGTATGAGAGGAAACAATGTATTATGTTTTCTTTTACTTATAAGAATAACAAATAGAGTAGAAATGAAATGTGATTGCAAATAAAAAGGTTTAAGAACTTCAAACAGAGATGTTACTACAGATACATATAATTCATTCATTTAATAAGACGAAGCTAAATCTAATTTGTTCTGCAACTCAGTTGATTTGACTTGAAGTTGGTGCAGAAAGTTTTCTTCTTCCTGAATATTCTGCCTTGTGGAGGCCAATGTAGTTTCCAGTTGAGAATTTATAATTTTAAAGCGGCAACTTTGGACTGAATATGCGTTCTTCTCTATTTTAGAAGAACCATTTCTGAATGGCTTGGGAATTCTATAGATTTAGAGCCACTGGTTGTAAAACATAGCAAACTCCCAAATGGAATTGAGATTGTCTCTGGAGTGTTTTGCTAATTCTTCAATTTCAAAAGCCAAAAGTTGTAAAACATGAGCATGATTGTGAAGATTAAGACGAGGAGAAGATAACATGCTAGCCAGAGATTGAAACTCAGGGTCACCAAGACCTATTCTAACATAGAAATTCGATTAAGTAGTAATAAATATGAAACGTAGACTAAAATACATGTACTTACAAATGCATATGAACTTGAAATTGGAGGATTGAATGTGAAAGGAACAACTGCCATACTGCTAACTGGATCTGGAACTTCAGAACTGGAAGGAAGTTTGCTTTGGAGTGACTCAATTGTAATTGGAATGTCTGAAATTTCAGAGAGTTTTTGCCAGATTGAGAAATTAGCAATGATGCTAGTCCAAGATCCTGAGCTAACTCTTCTGATTTAAGAATGACACTTGAATCTTAGAGTTCATCCTGAAATGAGAATCAAAATGTTATCAAAATGTAAGTTTGGAGTGAAATTCATGTAGAGAGTGAATGCTATAAGGTAACACACATGAAAAACGTGTTCAAACATAAGGCTTCTTCCAGCTCCTAATGTCGGAATAGGATCCATCTCTTCATCACTATAACTTTCTTCATCTATAAAGTTTTGAAGTGATTTCTTTTCTTTTTTTTTCTCTCTCTAAACCCTGACGAATTATGATCCTTCTTGATTGAGGAAGAACGTTTCCTTATAACCAATTTAAGTTGCCCTCGTTTAGGAAAGGCACTCCTAACATACTTTGAGGTTTACATTGTGTCTCGCTAGTTGTGCAGGAGATTTCTTCTTCAATAAATGATTCACCACTTGTGTAATGAATGATTCTTGATGTGTGGATAATGGGTGTTCATAACTTACACTTGCTCGTTCTTCTACAGTTAAGACAGGGATCTCCTGAAGTAATCCTAATTGTCTGCCCATATAATGTCGGAAATAAGCTTCTATTTTGAAATATCCAGCAATAAAAGCTAGAAAGTAATTTGCAGAATAAATTCCAATCCAATGGTTCGAAATTTTCTTCAATTAATTACATAGTAATTTCTCGGTCACAAAAGATTTGAGAAGAGAAAATACCACACAACACTGTTTATTTAATATCAAATATTCATAAATCACTTCTAACTCTTTGGACGTGGAATTGTTATTTCTAATATACAAAATCCAATAAACATGGCAAGTGCAAAGTATATTTTGAATCATTCTAGTATTTTATCCCCATCACATTTGTATTTAATATTCTCCTATACACTCTAACTCACACCACTCCAACAAGAGAAATTCTCTTTGCTTTCTAACTAGCTCTCTATAACCAATTGTTTGTATCTCAACTTGCTTGAACCAAATGCATGGACATGAAAAATCAACCTACATATATCTTGAAAAATCATATACAAAAGTGATATGTACTGAAAGTCACTTTACTATTTTGACATCTATTGTTCTTTCCTAGTACAATGTTATAATTATCACGATTAAATCTCTTTGGTTGGAACTTTGGAACTTGATGGTTCTTCTAAATCCACCATTGTCTTCCATTCGATTGTTCTCTCTGTTCTTGAATTTTAACAATGCTTTGTTTTTATTCTTAATGTCTGAAAAGAGCTTCTTCATTTTTTATTGAAACTCCATCCATCTGCTAAGATAATGCCTCTTCATTAGCTAATAGACTTTCCAACCCTGAAAAAGATGTTTTTTGGCCCGACCTCGAGTAGCGATAAAAAGAGCATTATATTTAGGTCTTAGACCACGAGTAATAATTCTCCTCGACCTTGTTGATGTTATTTTATTTTCTTAATCCAACTTTGAAATTTCGGAACATACCTCCTTAACCTTAGTGACTTATTGACTAATAGTCATATTATGTTGTGTAACCATTCTAAGCTCATTCCCAAGTTATTGATACTTTGCTTCATTCACCTTAGAAAATACTATTGTTAAAGTGTCTTACGCATCATTAGGTGTCTTTCGGATCCTTAATATGGTATAATAATTCATCCTTGATGGTTACTAACGAGTGTATAAAGCCTTGTCATATTTAACCTTATATTTTATGAGCTCCTCTAGTTAGTTAGTGATGTGACGTTATTTCTATCAACAACATTCTAAAGATCTTTTCCCAAAAAGTAAAATTACATGCGAGTGCTTTAATTGTTATAGTTGTTTTAGATGAGCTTCTTTATTGGACTAATTGAGTCATCTAGATCCATCATAGTGACTTCGTAGTTGATTGTGACTAACTAAAAAAGATTGGTCCAAGACTAATAGATTTTATAATCTCAAGTTGTTTACTTGGCAAAGCAAGTCGCTAACTACTCTTGGATAATATCAACCTTCAACTATAGCCTTGAACATATAGATCCATGATTGTTTGACTCTAATACCAATTATAAGAATTTCTCGATCACAAAAGATTTAAGAGAGAAAATACCATACAACACTATTTTATTAATTAAAAATACTTGTACATCACTTCCAACTCTTTGAACATAGAATGATTATTTTATATGCATATGATCCACTAAACATGGCAAGTGCATAGCATACTTTGGATCATTTTAGTTTCTATTTCTATCACACTTATATATAATACTTCCACTACACACTTTAGCTCACATCCTAAAACAAAAGAAATTCTCTCTTGTTTCCTAACTAGCTCTCTATAGCTAATTTTTCAACATGCTTGAACCAAATACATAGGAAGGGATATTTATACTTATTGGAAACAAATTCTAGCCACATGTTAATAAAATTAGGTAGGAGTTGATAAAAATCTTGAAATGAGATATTTTGTAAAAGAAAGAAGAGAAACCTAGAACTACTATGTTTTAGAATATGGGTTTGGGTTTAGGCTAATTTATGTCAAATTAGTAATAATTCTTAATCACTTATATTCATAAAATTGGTAACTTACACCAATTAAGGCCATACTTCTACTCTTGAATAGGTAGAGATATAAGGATCTGATTTTTTTCATTAAAAAGGTTATAAATTTTTTATAGCTAACTTGGTTGGAAAAACCATACTATTGCTTATAAAGTGATCATATGAAAGAAAATCATTGTTGGAAAGATGAAAGGTTCTAATGAAACTATAAGAATAATGAATAGTAGCATACAAAGTAACTACAAGGATGATAGATATGAGGTTTTAGCTTTGTATTCAAGGTAGTAGCTAAGATACTACGAGGGTAACCTAATAATAGAGGTGCTAAATTTATGGGTTTATTATTGAAGGAAAAAAACCATGATTAGTCCTAAGTAACTAGTGCTAATATTTTCATTCTTGTAACTAGATAAGTGATTACGAGATCTAAATTAAGTAAAATCATGCGTCTATAGTATTTAGGTTATTGTTTTGAAGCAACTTCTTAGTAAAGTCGAGTAATTCATATTAGATTAATAGGAAAAAGACATTTTTCTCTTATTCTAGTTGATTGGTGTGTTCTTTGTTAATATAGAACATAGTTCACCCATGCAATCCAATCTAATAGGTGAGCATCTAATCAATAATACTAAATCCTCTAACATGATTCCCATATATCCTTCCATTGTATAAGTTTACTTGTTAGTAGAATTTCATATTGTTAAAACCATTGTAAGTAAAGGTGGATTTGGAGAAGGTAGATGATTCATGGTCGAGTCAAATATAATGTCCAATCGTTAAAATAAATGATGTTTTTGTGAACCTACTAAATGACACCACAACTCCCCATTGACTAAACACAAAAACATATAACAACCCTAACTCTTGATTCGATAGTTATTCTCAATCCAAGCAAACCCAAAACTAACATTAACTAGCTAAAAATATAATAACACCTAAAAGTCTCCAAATCTCGAAATTAGGATATAGCCAAAACCCATATTATAATCGTTAGCATTTCACTAAATTTTAACTAGATCCTTTATAAATCCAAAATTTGGTATTGGTTAAATTTCAAATAATTATGAAAACCCTAACTCAAAAATATACACTTGCCACACCTCTTAGAATTCAAAATAAAAGAGCAAAATTTTAATCTTAACAACAATTAGAATTAAGCTGAAATTTTAAGATAGAGGTCGATTTAATATAAGTTTCAATTAGAAGGATAAAGGAATCGAAACCTATTTGTAAGAGTAGATTAAGATTTGCGATATGCATGTCTTATAAATAAAGATACAAATACATCAACTCGATTTTTAAAGGTGATGATCAAGTTGTCACCTTGGGAGATTAGTGCCAAGGATAAAGACATTCTTTAAATGATGCAAGGAAAGTGATTTTCTTCATTTTACATTACAAAAGAATGAAATAGAGAAAAACTCTTTCTATATTATCAAAACTTAAAAACTATCTAATAAATGCTAAAACAACCTTATATACTGAGGGTTACTAAGTTTCGGCTAGGCCTAAATTTTAGGACTCAAACACAAGCTAAGTTGAAACTATTACAAAAAACCACTAAAAGAGGAGGGATTTTTGAATAGTAATCACTTTTCATTATTTATTCACATGATTAAAACCATTATTCACTAGTGGTAATTTTTTTAATTTTTGTTGGTGGTTTTTTCATTTTTTTTTTAGTGTTTTTTGGCAATAATATGCATATTTAACATCTTTTTTTTTCCTTTTTATTTTCACAAAGCATTTCGATCTCTTATATTTTCAAAACATATTTATAGTCATTGGATGGAGAGATGAGAGACAAATAAAGAGAGAGAAATGTTTGGCTAGAGCTAGATTACGGTTGTTTCTTCATTGAATCTTGCATCTAAATTGTTTATCTTGGTGAGAAAACTACATTTATAATTTTGAGAAACCTATTTCATGCAAACTCAAATTAGATGGAGAGATGAGAGACAAATAAAGAGAGAAATGTTTGGCTACGCTAGATTCTAGTTGTTTCTTCATCGAATCTTGCATCTAACTTGTTTATCTTGGAAAGAAAACTACATTTATAGTTTTAAGGATCTTTGCATCACTTTTAAAGGTGATCTTTCAAAACAATTCGATAAAAAGCTATCGACGCCCTCCATCTTCCTATTATAGTAGTATTTATAGGTTTCAAAGTGGGTGAATTTTTAGGTAAATATTTGTTGTCTTGCTTCTCATAATAACACAAGAACTTTGTATCTCCTCATTGCTAAAATTACCTTCTAATCTTTTATGTGCAATCTGTTTATAGGCATGGTTGTTATGAATTGAACATCTTTACTAGTATGATACTTCAATTATGATATATCGTAGCTTCTATTTTATAAGCATCAATATGTATTTTTAAAATCTTTTTTGCTTTTTTATACTACTATTTATATTTCTAATAAACGTCTTTTCCTTCATGAATATTTCAACTTCGATTCTATACAATTAGAGATACAATAACTATCTATACTAATTGGTTATGGGGCCATCATAGAACAACAAAAAATTGGATCATATACTTTCGCATTTACAATTGACTTCTTTACATCAATAAATTATAAGAAGCCAAAAACACTTACCTACTTTGTTCCCATCTTACGGTGATAACTCATGCTCTAGAACAATTGTCTTAGGTCTTCTTATCATCCCACTATCCTTATTCATTGTTA